AGATATAGATATAGATATAGATATAGATATAGATATAGATATAGATATAGATATAGATATAGATATAGATATAGATATAGATATAGATATAGATATAGATATAGATATAGATATAGATATAGATATAGATATAGATATAGATATAGATATAGATATAGATATAGATATAGATATAGATATAGATATAGATATAGATATAGATATAGATATAGATATATGTATATAGATAATATAATCATAGATTGGCGCTTACACATACATATGTTAGTGTTTGGCCGAGCTTTTCCTTTGATTTGTGGCGTGACCCTTGATGTTGTCACACAAAGGGGAGGGATCTACAGTTTTACGCTGTCTCCGAACGGCGATAGTATTTTTATGAGAAGCTGTTTTTCATGGCAGAAATACACTCAGAGGATTGCCATTGCCTGCCGAGGGATGACCACTATTAGAAAAAAACGTGTTTGTTTTTAATTTTTTGATGTTGGGTTGAACCGGGCTGAGACCCGTGCCGTGCGTAGCGGGAGCGCGCACTGCTAACTACTACACCACAGCGGCCACTATACCTAAAGGTATACCGATTCTTGCAGATAGGCGCCTCCTGAGTTTCTTCCAATGAACGCTCCTTAAGAATAATTCATATTTACGAAGTAAAAATTACTTGCTGTTCAAGGAATAATCCAGTGGTCGCTCTATAGTCACAAATCTAGCCTCTTTTTCTCGATTTTGCGGGTCTTCGGTCAAGAGAGGTTGTCAAGTAGATGTAATGTACATTGACTTCTCAAAGGCTCTTGACACTGTCACACACATATTTATATTAGGCATGTTTTATTCAACCATCACAGGCAAATAGCTAAATCTTGGTCAAATAAAATGAAATTAGCTTATTTCCTATGTTAGCCTAATTTTGACAGTTGTTTGACTGCAAATAGTGTCAAAGTAAGTTTTTGCCTCTTTCTGATTGGCTGAAGGAGAAAATTTCTGATGGTGAATGGCATTGCCTCTTGTTCAATATACAAGCCAAGATAGCTTTTCATAAGCCAATATAATTATGTTGGGTAAGTTCTCCATGCAAAATAAGCAAATATCTTAAATTTCTGTACAAATAAAACACGGCTATTATTGCGTAAACTTGAGCGGCTAATGGCGTTTTCGTTTCTACCAAAAAATGTTGCCCCTTCATTGCCCTCTTTGAACAAACGCTAAAGGGAAGGCAATGAAAAGGCATATTTTTTGTAAAACCGCAAACGAGATAAGTTTTCATTCAGTATTTCTATCTGGGATTAGATCTTATCTCTCCAAGAGAATTTATTTTATTGAAATAGAGCACGATGTATTCTATCATTCTTGGAAATAGAGGACATTAAGTCATACCTAAGGTGACCATTCGTACCGGTTATGACGGGACAGTACCTATTTTTAGGAAATTGTCCTGCTGAATATTTTTTAAAAGTCGGGACGTATAAGTGCCCCGATTTTTCACATCTGTATCGATTAAATCCCGATTTCCAGTGTTTTCTTTATTAATTTAATAAGGGTGTCCCTGTACTCTGGCCCAAAAACAATTTTTCGTACAAACGTGTCAGCAGTTTCTTTATTACACATAGAATATAAGGGAGCCACAAACATAACCAGCATCCTTACCTTCTATAATCTTTGGTTATGTTTTATTCTGTTAAACTGGTACTCTCGCTATATCGAAAATCGAGTTAATTTCTTATTCTATGGATAAGTTTTCGAGTAAGTTACCGTTATTCAGCTTAAAACAAAAAATTGCTCTACTTAATCACGTATATCTTACGAAACCAATCTAAAAGCATAAACAGACGGCAGCGTTGATCCGGATCAACTCGGGAAATAACTGCAGTTGATCCGGATTAATTCCGAGTTAATCCGGATCAACGCTGCCGTCTGTTTAAGCTTTTAGAT